GATAAAATTCCTAAAGCACTTAACCCTCAGATCCTCCCAAGTATTTAGGATCCAGATTTTTAAAAGTATTTTGTTGCTGCTATTAAAGCCTAAATCTCATTTAATAAGAGGCATTTAGTCTGAATTCCACTCACTGTGATGGAATTTAAATGCCTAAATTCCTTTTGAAAATGAATCAGGCATTGTAATGTTGGGAGCAGCAACATCTAAATCCCTTTAAAAATCTAGCTTTGAGGATCTGAACTTAAGTGATTTAGGAGCCTAAGTCCCACTTGTTTTCAATAGGTCTCAGGTGCTTTAGGAAATATTATCCTGAACTGAAAGGCACCTGGGGTGAATTCCTGGCTCCAATGACAGCTTTCCATCAACCTCAGTAGGGCCAAGATTTCCCCCTTGGTTTAGAATGTCACCCAGAACAGTGCCAATGAAGCACATTTTTGTGGTTTCCCTCATTCCCCAGTGTGCATCAGCAAAGCATCTCAGCACTTTCAAAACCTCCTTAGACACCAGGGCCAAGATTTTCAAAAAGTGACCACTGGCCAACTTATTGGTGCTGAACTTGGGGTCCCCACAGCAGGCGTGAGCTCAGCTGGGCAGGGGACCCGGCGGCAGGCATGAGCCCCTTCCTTCCTATGCATACCTTAAAATCTTGAGTATAATGGGGATGCGCATTTTAGAGAAGAGTGTAGTTTATTCAGGCATTTTGACCTTTAAAAAGCAGATGTGCATTATACATTGGTGCGCATTATACTCGAGATTTTATGGTATGTGGACATTTCCAGTTAGGTCAGAAGTCAAACCACAACAGGCCAGTGTGTTGACACAGAATGAGTCATTATCTCCTGTGATATCTAAAAGTTCCAAAATACAATGATGTGCCAGGCTGAACATCCTGCTTTAACAAGAAAGCAGCCATGGTAGGTGACTTGTGATATTTCTTGGTAATTTAGGCACAAGTTCCCATTTTTCCCATTTTAGGAGTTTGTCCACGAGGGCACAGAGTAATATTTCATGCATATTCAAAAGGATGTTCTAGTTTAATTCTCCAATCAAATGTGTTCATCCTCAAATTCTTAGGGTGTGGAAATCTGTTTTTGACTTTGATGGGTTTGACTATGTGATGCAAAAAGGCCTTTAACACCCTATGTTTGAGTGTGCAGTGCAATTCCTTCCTCAAACTCTCTCCCTTCATTTTCCTTTACAATACTAGTACTCTTAAGTCTTTAAAAAAAATATCGAATAGTCCTGTAGCACCGCAGAGTAACAAAAAAATGTAGATGGTATCATGAGCTTTTGTGGGTTGTGCCATCTCCCCAACCACACAAATAGGATTCAGTTCTGTGGAGATCCGGAGGCCTATTTTTCCCACCTCCACCTAAAGCAGGGGTGGCCAACCCCTTAGAGACGAAGAGCCAAAATAGTGGTGGACACATTTTTGTAATGAAAGAGCCACAGGTGGCTCGCAAGCTGCTGGTTGGCCACCCCTGGCTTAAAGGAATACTTCCAACACACCAAAGTACAACACACTGACCTTGCAGCTCTCCCCTGCCAATCCCACAAGAGGAAGGCTTCTATGTGGACCCCTACTAACAGTCGTAATCAGAGTCTTGACTTTTACATCGATTGCTTCTACAAACAGGCATGGGGCTGACATTGTCAGCAAATCATCATCATATAACCTCAGTCATGCAGAATGCAATGCTATACACAGCCTCAAAAACAATTCTAGCTTCATAATCAAACAAACTGACAAAGGGGGCACTGTAGTTGTCATGAACAGAACAGATTATGAACAGGAGGCGACTAGACAATTCACCAACACCAGATTCTACAAACTCCTCTCCTGTGATTCCTCTAAAGAATACCAAAAAAATCCCTAAAACAACTGCTCACAGGCTCCCTGATTCTACTCAGGACCAAATTTAAACAAACCCCCCCCCCCCTTAATCCCCAGCCAGGAGTTTTCTATCTGCTACCCAAGATACACGAACTTGGAAATCCCAGATGATCTCAAGCCACAGGGACTCATTTAACTGCACAGCCACTAATGTGATCTATGCAATCAAATGCCAGCAATACCCCTCTGCGATGTATCGGCCAAACTGGACAGTCTCTACAGGAAAGAATTAATGGACACAAATCAACATACAGAAAGGAAACACAGAAACCTGTTGGAAAACTTTTTAACCTGCTTGGGCACTCACTAATGGATCTCAAAGTCACGTGTTGTGGAATTGTCCTGAAACAAGCCAAAAACATAGGAAGCATTGGAACTTAACTTCTTTTACAAGTTTGGGAGCCATCACAAAGGTATGAATGAAGACTTTACCTGGCTCGCACACTATCTTCCACATCCTAATTACTTAACCAACCAAACAATGGGTACTTAAGAACAATTTGCACCTTCTCTATTAGCTTCTTGTAACATGAACACACTACTTCAGTGGTCACCAACCAGTAGATTGGGATCTACTCGTAAATCTTGGAGCCTCTGACAGGTGATCCTGACTGGTTTGGCCACATGGCTATCAAGTGCCAGCACTTCAGCTGCTCCTCCTCCCACTGCTGCACATCTCTGGCCCTTTGCCGTGGAGCTGTCCCCTTAGGATCCTCCTGTTTGCTGTGCAGGGCAGGGCAGGGAGAGGATGGGTGTTGACGTCAAGGTTCCCCCTTCTCCCACCCTGTATCGTATCTCCACAGAGCAGAGAGGGGAGCACAACAGGACTAGGGATATAGCAAGTTTGCTGGCGGCTTTTGGGAGTGGTGCAGGGCCAGGGCAGAGGTGAGCCGGCCTTAGCCCCACTGCAACACCGCCCACAAGCCACCTCAGCTAAGCAGTGCCCAGCTGGAGTCCACATCCTGAACCCCTTCCCAAGTCATGAACCCCCCTTCTGCACCCCAAGCCCCTGCCCTCACCCTGCATCCAAACACCCTCCCAGAGTCTGCACCTAGAACCCCCCTCTGGCATCCCAACTGCCTGCCCCACGCTCACCTCAGAGCCCCTCTCACACTCCAAATCTCTTAATCCAAGACCAGAGCCTGAAAGCCCAAACCGCTGCACCTGCCACTTTCACGCATGGTGAAAGTGAGTGTTGGGAGGAAGGAGGATGGAGTGAGCAGGGGCGGGGCCTCAGAGAGAGGCAGGGCAAGGAACACAAAGGAGGCAAGGTAAAGATATTTGAATTTAAGGTAGATCTTGGATTGCGCTTAAATTAAAAAAGTGATCTTGTGTGTAAAAAGGTTGGAGACCACTGCTCTACTTCACTTTTTTCCCTTCCTTCCCCCCATTCCCTATTTATTTTAACTGGATTTGTAATACTCCATTCATCTGAAGAAGTGGGTTGTACCCATGAAAGCTCATGATACAATCTACATGTTTTGTTAGTCTTTAAGATGCTGCTAGACTATTTGTTGTTTTAAGTTTTTCCAGTCAACACAATTCTGCTTAGCTATATCCGTATAATTTTTTAATGTGTGCAATTTGGCTGAGCTATGGCTGCTCTGAGAACTCTAACTTGGTATCTCTCAATTATGTTCAGTTATAATTACATGCAAAAATGTCATTAATGCAACAGTGTTTTGTAATTCAAATTCTGCGGCAGCCTAGCACATGAGAACCTGACCATGAAACAGACTATAAAAAAAATGTGGAATTGTTTAGTTATTTGTTTTTTCATTTACCTTGAACATTTATTGCACTGATTACAAACTATGATGTGCAACATCAGGGGGGATTTGGTTTGTTAAAAGATGTTAAAAAGAAAAAATGTTAATTAAAATACCCAAGTTCTTTCTGCTTCTTGCAATCTTCACTTATTAAAACTGGAAGAATTGCAAACATTTTGTTTACCTCTTACTGTCCATGAGGTTTACTCTTAGCATTTCTTCCAGCATGAAGAAGGAAAAGCAGACATATCAGTTTTAGTTTTCCTTTGAGGGTGATGTTTGAAGGGAATGTTGGTTTTTAATAAGAGGTTCAAATTTAAGTTTTTTAAAAATAAAATCATGGAAACATTTCTCAATCTCTGGTTTGGTAAGAGATCATGTTACACCAAATCTCATGCAGCAATATCTTTGACTAGGTATTGTAAACTGCCATCTTTCCCAAATTATTTATACAGTGACGGTGCATAATACCTAATTGCTGCTATCCTGGACCCGGATTCCGCAAACTTTGTCTAGTTAAACAAACACTGACGCACGTTTAACTTTAGGTACACACTGAAGTCCCATTGACTTTAATGGAACTTAAACAGGTGCTTAGGCACTTTGCTGTATTTCAGCATGTGCTGTATGAACATCAGAAAGCTTTGCATAGTATGTCAATGATGTCAGACATTGTTTCAGTGGCACATTACTTGCTGAAACTTGCTTTTGGCTGTTCAAAACCTCTTTATACTGGAAAGGAAGTATTTTTAGTCCATTTTTATTTTCAGTGACAAAGACTGCATTAGTTAGCTGCAATTTGTTGGGGTATAGGATTGCACAGCGTGCTGATAATAGGATATAGAGTCCCACACTTTTATGCCGATAAGCAATGCTAAGTGCTACTGTGCTTAGGTACAGAGAGAAGCAGGAACTCACACACTGAGTCAATGGCAGAAGCCAGGAATAGAATTCAAGTTTTCTGACTTCCAGTAGCTGGTGCGTTATCTACCAGCCAAAGGGCCTAAATACAGCCTAGGGCAGTGGTGACGTGGAGCTATGAGCTCTTCAATGACTGTGTGAAATCACCATTTCATAGTCTCAGCCAAGTTTTCTTTGAGAACGGGTTTCCAAGGAAGATCAACACAGTGAGCACTAGAATACTCTTGCTTGCTAGCTAATCTCAGCAGAGACACCAAGGATGGAAGGACAGTAGGGAATAGGTTGCCTCCTCTAGATCAGGAGATGTAAGGGAGGGCAGGGCAGGAAAGCTTTCAGCATTCTTGTCTGGATTATATTCATTGCATGCACAAATATGGAACAAACTTGTACCACTGGTTAAAATAAGACAAGCATTGACAAGAAAAGTAGTCTTTTATTTCAATGAATATTTCTTGGCATTAGGCAGATATTAAATAACACTGTATTGCACAAGACTATTAACATATTGACAGCAAAAGGTAGGAGAGCATAGCAAAGTTTAGAACAGCAGCGTGAGTCACATCACCTCATGCCACTCAAAAGCCAGTTAATGCTGCAACCACCATCAAGTGGGACTCGACTGAGAAATATAAAATGAGGATTATTCCTTTTATTCCTTTGTTAATACAGTAAACGCTGGAACGATCAACAGTAAAAACAAATATTTGCATTCAGTAATTAAACAGAGTGAAATAGCCACAAATTGCTAGGCATGCATTTTCTTTAACAGCAATTTGCTAATGCATAAATATCTCAAAAACAATCTTCAAGATTTGAATAAATCAGACAAGAAATTAAGCTTTAATTCTACTTTATGCATAAATACATGACCTACGTAATAAAATTTTACTTCACTATATATATATAATTTATATATATATATTAAAAGAAAGTAGACCATTAGATAAGTGCAAGCAATTTTCCTCAAAAGCAAAAATAATTTGGAACCATGCCCAGAAAAGCTTTTCTCTTCTTCTTTCTACTCCAATAAGTTCACATTTTGCTTAAAAAATGATGACCTACCATCTGCTATGTTGGATAAAAATTCTATCTAGTATCTTCTTGGTGCTACTAGAATGTCATCATTCTTACTGACTAAATGATGTGATATTTCACTAGAAATCTGAACTCATTGTATCTGCATGTAAACATACCTTTCAATTACATTAACCAAGAGGAAAGAGGAAACAAAAACAGCAAAAGGAATGTTACACTCGTGTTAGTGAGAAGAGTGAGGCAGTCTTCACTCTGATACACGTGCACACAGACAGACACACACACACACACACACACACACACACAATCAGGCAATGGAATCTTATCCACTAGCAAGTTGAGGAATGATTGAGAAGGCATCCATTTGCAAGCAAAGCTTGAACGACAAGCCAGCAGTTTCTCTGCAAACTGTCCAGAGTTTAATTAGAACTGACTTGCACTGCTTGGATCACATTGTAACAATCGCACGATAGAGGGATCACTCTTGGCACCTTTAATAAACTCTTCGAGGGACAGTTTACCTTCAAGGGAGAAAACAAAAAACAAATCACTTGCATTGCAAGATCAAACAAAGCTTAAAAATAAAACCTTCACCAAATGCTTAAAAATACACATATCCTACTACAAATGGGTTTAAGGTTGCAGTGCAGAGGAACCAGGCACTCTCTTCTTCCTCAGATCTGGATGCAGTATTTTTTTCAAGTAAACAAATATAATATTTTACTTTCTCATTTGGCATTAAACATGGACATTCTCGAGTTAAAATAATTGCATTTAGATCAACAATTTAAGCAGAGAACTGACTTGTACAAAACTGGAGAACATATACTCATAAAAGATGTATACAAACTAGTCTAGAAATGGTCTTGAATCAAGGGTGAGATTTTAAACCCTCAAACCCCAGAGTATTTGCACTAAATTCACTGATAGGTGATCATATAACAGTGTACCTAACACTGGGCAACACGATGTAGTTTATCCCACATTTACAATTACTACTATGGTCAGTTGCACTGTGGCACAAGAACAGCCTCACTGAAGGCCTGTAGGTGATGCCTTGCTTATTGAGCTGTGCAAATCCTTTGCAATCAGACCCTTACAGATGGGTTTTTCCAGACTTTGTTACAAACCTGAAACTTGGGCCAACTTCACCAATTTGAGCTGATTTATGGAGTTAGGTTTGAAAACCATGGAAAAAATCTGACTAGGAGTGACCTTTAAAACCAACCGAAGTGTAAGTGCCTATTAATCAAAATAACAAATAATTACAAATTGCAAACTTTGGTCATCTGCCACTGCTGGCAAGTGTAGGACTGTTCTTTTATAACAGTTCCACTCTGGGACCACACCTATAAGCCCTGGGCTGGTGGAATTTCCACTGAGCTCAGTGCAAGTGCTGCTTACAGAGGTTTTCAGGACTTCTTCATTAGCTGTGATTTGAACAACAGTATTGAAATATAATTATATTTTTGATCAATATTTGGCATGTAATGCACTTGCAATGGTATTCTCTTGTACAGGATATGACACATCCACAGCTGTACGGAAATAAACCATAAAACAGCATTTATAAGAAATGAAATGGCTCCTTCTAGGATGATTTCACTGGCCTCGACAATTCTCCCTGGAGCCAATGTAACCTATCCAGCAGAAGGGCCATGATACAGGGTGACTGAAGTGTGCTGCATTCCTGAAATGCCTTCTATCTCAAAGTTTATTACAAGTTGGCAAAGTTTAGAATAGCCAATGAACCTACTTACCTGTCTAAAGATATCTGCAAGTGCTTGCAGGTCTGGAGTGATAATTAGTAGATGCTAAAAACCAAAATACTCTATTCACTATCGCTACTGCAAAAAGTTTTTAATATGTGTATTGTGTTTAATCAGCAAATTTTCGTATTGTTAATTGAAATATTTGCTACTGGGATTATCTTTTACATAAAATATTCTGGCAGTCACATCCGTTTACATTACATCTGTGTGAAATGCAGTATTTCATACAATTATTTACAACATTCAAAGGCAATTCTTACCCAATTTAAATTGCCTCCATTATAGAAATAACCACCGCATATTTTTGTCAAGAGAAAATTAACTTTGTAAAACACTGCAACACATTTTGTATAATTTTGTGTGATCACTTACCACAGCCCCAATCAAAGTAGAATTTTAGCTTGAATCCTCACTTGGGATTTTAAACCCATGGAAAACGAACACACTAACAAAAACATTCCCCTGTGAGAACTGTCTTATAATTTTTGAGTTCCACCCCCTAGGTTATACTCTTTGCTTCTGGGTCATGTGGCTTTTTTTTGGTTTTAATTGCTCTCTGCATATGTGTTTAGTTACATACCCCAGAGCAGGATATTAAATTACACTTTTTCTTCCTACAACACTCATTCCCAGCATATCAGAGCATCCCAATGCATTACAAATGCATCTGTTCTTGCACTCTATTTTTACTGTGGTATGTTTTTTAGACTAACATACATTTATTTGTTCCAAATGGAAGCTTCCGATCACAGATTCAGATTTTGCGTTCCACTTTTGTTTGTTGTCCCTTTGGGCTATAAGTTTAAAGACAGATGTGTAACATTTGTTTTTATTAAAAATATTAGAGAAACTACACACCAAGATGGTCTCAGCTTACTGTGGGAACAAGGACTGGATTCCGTGGTCAAGCGACAGTACTACACCTTACCTGGCCAAGGTTTGGCACCTGCCAGGAGAGCAGAGATATGTAAGGGCCCAAAGCAAGACAAAGCCCTGACGGTCTGAACAAGCTGGTTTTTGATAAATCACCAGCATTTTTTAGAAGAATTTTTGTTTGCCAAAGGTTTCCACAAAACTTTGCACATGTTGATCGTGTTTGTTTTTGTGAGACACTCCAGGGCAAAACACGAAGCAAAACCTGGCAGCCTTGCCCCACTGCACAGCTGACAATGAAAAGCCATACAATGAAATGAAGCATACAGACAAGGTGCTATTCTCCTCTCTTGTTTGGAGATGGCAGGAGGGACAGCTAATGGGATTCTTTTGAAACATAAGCACTGCTCCATTACACGTTCAGGATGTACACTCTATTACTTAGCAATACATTACTTACCGGAGTGACGTTTTGCTAGTTCTGAAATTGCTTTAATGAAGCTATCTGCATATTCCAGGTTTTCATAGAATCATAGGGCTGGAAGAGACCCCAGAAGGTTATCAAGCCCCGCCCCCGCCCAAAGCAGGACCAATTCCAACTAAATCAACCCAGTCAGGCCTTTGTCAAGTCGAGACTTAAAAACCTCTAGGAAGGAGATTCCACCATCTCCCTAGGTAACTCATTCTAGTACTTCACCACCCTCCTAGTGAAATAGTTTTTCCTAATATCCAACCTAGAATTCCCCCACTGCAACTTGAGACCATTACTCCTTGTTCTGCTATCCGTCACTACTGTGAACAGCCTCTCTCCATCCTCTTTGGATCCTCCCTTCAGGAAGTTGAAGGCTGCTATCAAATCCCCCCTCACTCTTCTCTTCTGCAGACTAAGTAAGCCCAAATTCCACAGCCTCTCCTCTTAGGTTATGTGCTCCAGCCTCCTAATCATTTTGGTCACCCTCTGCTGGACCCTCTCCAATGCATCCACATCCTTTCTATAGTGGGGGACCCAGAACAGGATGCAATACTCCAGATGTGGCCTCACCAGAGCCGAATAAAGGGGAATAATCACTTCTCTAGATCTTCTGGCAATGCTCCTCCTAATGCAACGGACCCTATCCCTGCACTCCAATGTATCTACCTCACCCCCTAGCTTAATGATGAAGTGCTACCTAGCCAGTTGGTCCGCAGCCTGTAACAATGCTTGGGATTCTTGTGTCCCAAGGGCAGGACTCTACACTTGTCCTTGTTGAACCTTCAGATTTCTTTTGGCCCAATCCTCTAATCTGACTAGGTCACTACGGACCCTATCCCTGCACTCCAATGTATCTACCTCTCCCCTTAGCTTAGTGTCATCTGCAAACTTGCTGAGGGTGCAATCCATCCCCTTATCCAGGTCATTAATAAAGATGTTGAACAAAACCAGCTCTAGAAACCAACTGCCAACCTGACATTGAGCCACTGATCACTACCCGCTAGGCCCAACAGTTTAACTAGCTTTCTATCCATTTTACAGTCCATTTATCCAATCCATACCTCCTTAACTTGCTGGCTAGAATATCATGGGAGACCATATCAAAAGCTTTGCTAAAGTCAAGGTATATCACATCCACCGACTTTCCCATATCCACAAAGCCAGTTACCTCATCATAGAAGCTTTGCCACACTGTCCCATCACACATCTCTGCATGCCACAGGGGTCACAGAAGGATGACTTTACATGCTTTAGTTTTGTATGCCTCCACATGTAGAGCCAAAGAGTGAAATCCTAGCTCCATTGAAGTCAATGAGAAAACTCTCATGGAACTCAGCAAAGCCAGATGTTACCCCAGGGCTCTAGCTACTGTCAGTTCAACAGAACAGGACTCAGAGAGCGCCATAAAAGTCTCTAAGATGGAACAGTTTTTCTATGCCTAAGGATCATAACCTTAGAAGTCAGAAATCACTGGCCTTTTCAGGGCTGGAAGCAAAACTGCTGGATCCCACTTGGAAATGGAACACCTCTCCTTTTCTAATAAGCGTATGTAAACCTCATTTTACGAGGAATAACACCTTCTGTCGACAGAGTTTCTGTCGACAGAAGGTGTTATTGAATGGAAACTGTCCTTTGCGTCCAGACTACCATGTCAACAAAAGCAGCTTGCTTTGTCGACAGAACTCAGTGTAGTCTGGACGCACTTTGTCGACAGAAGCCTGTAGTCTAGACGTACCCAGAGAGCGCCATAAAAGTCTCTAAGACAGAACAGCTTTTCTATGCCTAAGGATCATAACCTTAGAAGTCAGAAATCACTGGCCTTTTCAGGGCTGGAAGCAAAACTGCTGGATCCCACTTGGAAATGGAACACCTCTCCTTTTCTAATAAGCAAATGCTCCTTTTTCACCCATTGCACCCTGAAATATCAGATTTGAAATTCTTGAAGGGCATGTTTGCATGGCAAAAGCCTGCAAGTCAGCTAGCTCCGGTAGCCTCGCTTGAGTCCAATGAGCAAGAGTAACAAGAACAATGAATGGAATAACAACGTACAAAAACCTGTAGGAGAACACTTCAATCTTCCTGGCTACACAATTGCAGATCTAAAGGTAGCCATTCTGCAGCAAAAAAAACTTCAGGACCAGACTTCAAAGAGAAACTGCTGAGCTACAGTTCATCTTCAAGTTTGACACAATCAACTCTGGATTAAACAAAGACTGTGAATGGCTTGCTAACTACAAAAGCAGCTTCTGCTCTCTTGGGATTCACACCTCCAGATCAGCTACTAGAAGTGGGCCTCATCCTCCCTGATTGGATCCACCTTGTCATCTCCAGCCTGATTCTGGCCTGCATATTTATACCTGCCTCTGGAAATTTCCACTACATGCATCCGACGAAGTGGGTCTTTGCCCATGAAAGCTTATGCTCCTACACTTCAGTTAGTCTATAAGGTGCCACAGAACTCCTCGCCGCTTTTGAAGAACAATGAAGACAGTGAAGTGTGGGCTTCAGCCAGCGGAGCAAAAGCCTGGAACAGACCCCATACGTATTTTGCTCGCCAGCTTGCACCGAAGCAAGCACGGTGCTGTATTTTCTGCCTGTGCTCTGCACACAGCCGAAAAGTGGTCACAGGCCCAAGACTGAAGGCTGCCCATCTTGGGCCTCTGACCAAGGTAGTTTACTGGGAACATTTTACAGCTGATGGGATAAGGTGGAAACATTTCTTTGGCAGGGTGATGAGGGAAAAACAACTGAGTCCTCTCACCAGTTGTAGTCTGGGGAGATGAGTTAGTGGGTAGAGTGGTGGCTAACACTGTCCGGTACATTAATTGATCATGTGGTTACATAAACGTGCCTCCAAACGTGGTGTATATTCCAATGTGAACGCAAACCTGCAGCCTGACGCAGTTTTGTGGAGGGGAAGGGAGAATCAACAACATGTCAGGATCACAGAGGCAAAGGTTGCAAGTTTGAGAACTCTGCCTTAAACACATCTTCCTATCAGCACTTCCCATAGACCCCTCCTCTCTGCTCACTGTTCTATTCTTGGTCAGCAAAACTTTTCTAAGCAAACTATGGATCTAAGTGCTGCCTTTAGATAATGGATAATTAGAAAGTGCAATTCTGGGCCAAATTTTCAGATTTTCAATTTTGCAAGGTCAAGCCCCTGTTTAAGGGCAAACTGTGCCTTTCAAAAAAAAATCTGTCCCTAAATGATCATTGATGCAGCTGTATGGAATCAGAAAACCTAAAGATGCATAAAACAGAAATGTAAAATTGAAGAAGGGCTGAGAGATGAATAGAGGTACAAAATTCAAGGCCAAATCCCGCTCTTCTCATGCATACAATTAGCCTCATATGAGGGAAATTAAGAAGAGCTGGACCTTGATCCTCGAGCCGTAGTGCCCACCAGTTCTGAAGCAGCAGCCACTATAAGGAACTAGCGACTCTCAATGGCTCATGTGGCTAGCGGGTTGGACACCACTGCCCTAGTTCATACCTTCCCAGAGAGTACAAGTTGAAGGCACGTGGACATTTCAGAGAAGCCTTTTCACACACAGAAATGACAATGAGATGGAACAGACTGCCCGAAACAGTAGCCGCAGCAGCACATGAAACCAAATAGTAACAAGAAAAAAAAAAGAGGGTGTGGGGGAAGAGAGACAGTAAAGTGACTAGCATCTTTGCTTCCCATCTGAATAGACAGATGCATCCGTTCAGTCTGCCAACAATTACAGTAGGCCATAGTCAACAATTACAGTAGGCCATAGTCCAAGATGGCTGGGTCACACTGAATACAATTTTAAGCATAGCGCTGACTTTGTTCTACTAGCAAGGGCTACTTAGATGGAGGAATAAGATTGCTCTATGCAATTTGATGTTTGCAGAGGCAATCATGTTCTTGCCTGTCAAACAGTACATGAGATTGATGTGGCACAGACCCTAATGGGAGCAGAGTGTTTTTTGCAAAGGGAAAAGAAGGATGATCCTGTTATGGAACACACTGGATGGGTGTAGGTGAGGTGAGCAGGCCACATTTGGAAACACAGCAAGGTAGAAGAGGGACCTCAATCTTCTTTCCCCCTTTTCTCAGGGAAGAACTCCCTTCTCCCCTCTACACTCCCTGACATCCTCTCCTCTTGGAGAATACAAGCTAGAATATAACCATAAAAACTGGAGTGAAAACACTTTACTCTTCACTACCAGGCCCTACCTCAGGTACTGTATTTGTCATCCTGTATTTGTGTTCTTTCTCTCTGACTTCATACTCCTCCCATTTCTATTCTTCGTTCTATTTTCCTCTGCTCATTTTTGCCTTTGCTCACTTTTTGCAACCTAGCTCCCCTCTTCACCTATATCTATTTTGCCATTCCTCTGCCCCATCACAGTCTGCCTCTCCTGGGCCGTACCACACTTTGTGACTCCCCAATGGTGCACAGACCACATGAAGAAGCATGGCTGCCCTCACAGGGCAGACCAGTCCTGTTCTATAGACATGGCCGTGCAGCTGAGCTGCCAGGAGTCTGACACAGTGCCTGATTTCACAGATGGAGGGGAGATACACACGTGACATATTTTCTCAAACCCTCTGTGGAGGAAGAGACCAGAGGGCATGTCAGTGCAGCAACATGCAGCAAACCAAATCTGGCGATGGGACTTATTTTTTATTAGAGATGCAAGAATGTAAATGGCTGACCGTTCAACCAATAAGCTGATGCTTAATTGATTAATGCTGTCTGTTACACTCAACCTCCTGGGGAGGTGGCTTTGCTGTGGCACAGCAGTGAATCCTCCTCCCCAAGAGCTAGGCAGGCCAGGGCTGCCAGCTCTGCTCCCAGGGAAGAGGCTTCACTGCCACAGTAAAGCAGGGGCAGGGGCTAGCAGCCCTGCTCCCGGGGAGGTTTCGCTGTGGGTTCTGCAGTATAAAGTGAAGCAATTCTGGTCCCCTGTCATTCCTTACTCTTTACACTGTAGTGCCCACAGCACAGGTAACCATGTAACTGCTGAGATTTTCAGTGATTACATGGTTACCCTATTACACGATTTTTAAGATCCCTACTTCAGATGCACACACACTTAGGTTGCTGCCAACTTCACTAGGGGTGTGTCTAGACTACAGGGGTTTTGTCGACAAAAGTGGACTTTTGTCGACAAAAGTATACCTGTGTCTACACTATTGCCGAGTTCTGTTGACATAACGTCGACAGAACTCGGCAGTTTTGTCGACGGCGGTAAACCTCATTCTACGAGGAATAACGCCTTTTGTTGACAGAGTTCTGTCGACAGAAGGCGTTATTGCATCTACACTGTCCTTTGCGTCTACACTCTCATGTCGACAAAGTGGCTTGCTTTGTCAACAGAACTGGATGTAGCCTAGACGCTTTTTGTTGACAAAAGCTTTGTCAACAGTATCTGTCAACAAAGCCTCTGCCGACAAATGCCTGAAGTCTAGACATACCCTAGCTTAGTTGGTCAGCAGACAGAGTGTGTGAAGGGGCAAGAGTTACTGAAAAGAGGAACAAACACCTTTGTGCAAAAAAATACCAGTACAAAAATACCAGTACTAGTCTGAAAAATAGGGACCTCATTGGTTTCTACAAACACAGCTTATTTGCCTTTATTTTGATTACAGCAAACAGACACTCAGATGTTACTGAGACCGACTCCACGGTGAGATGGCAGATAGAACTGAAGCCTCCCTAAGAGCATTTTTTCTTCTAAATAAAAGTTGAGCATTATCAGTAATGCAAAACTAGAAATAAGGCATCAGACAATGCTTGCTTATTCCTAAGACCTATTTAAGGGCTTCTGGTGGAAATCATACCATCATTGTTTGTGTCCATCTGTCTGAAGATTTTGTCTGTTCGTTTCTCCGGAGTGGACTCGTCTTCTGGCATTTTCATTACGGATGACACCATTTTGTAGATTGCCTAAATAAAAAAAAAAAAAAAAAGTTATAAACATCAGGACCAAGGAAAGGAACTTAAGCTTTCAGCAATAAACAAAGGAAGACAACCTAGGCAGACAGCTGAAAACACCTATAAATAGAAAACCCCAAAACAAAAGAAATTATGAACTAGATCTGCTTTTTCCAGCATTCATTTCTAAATTTAGAAAACCACTGCCTCTTCTTGTTTACCCCCCCCCTCCCATTTTTTCCCTTCTCCCCCACTCCCTATTTCTTTTAGTTCTGGACATCCAACATTGGTCATTTGAAGAATTGGGCTGTGCCCATGAAAGCTCATCTACATGTTTTGTTAGTCTTTAAAGTGCTACCAGACTATTTGTTGTTTTTTAAGTTTATCATGAGATACAGTATGCGCAATACAAACTCCCCTGCCAATTTAATTTCTCCCCAGCCTTTCCTAGAGCAACTGTTGTTGCGGGGAGGTAAAAGATTTTCACTCTCCAGCTAAATTCTGCTCCTAGCAACCCTCGCTGAAGCACTCAGAGATTAACCTTGATGGGGATATAACTCTGCACCCCATATTCTTCATAGTGATAACTTTTATGCTTGATTATGATGTATTTTATGCTTGATAAATCATAAAAGGTATCATTGGAAAGGTTTTGGATTGCCGAATATGATTAGCCTATTGGAATCCATGAATCATTTTTGCATATGAAGTTATGAATACTATGTATCTGTATTTTAAATGTAGTTACACCTGGGGGACACCCACTGGATAAGAGGCTTTCAGTCCAGATAGTGGTTGGAGAAGGGCCTATTGTTTTTCCTAGACTGAAAGCATTTTGTCTGGTGGGCATCTTGTATAAGCTTATCTCCTACTTGGGAAGCCTTCCTGTGAATGTGCCAAACAACCTGTGAATGGTGGTGCTATGACTCTACAACAATGGTGGGCAACCTGCGGCCAACTGGGGTTCTATGGGTGGCCCACTAGACATCTTGTTTACTATTACTCATGTGCAAGGCTGACGGATTCTGCTGGTTTCCATCCATGTAGTGTTCTCCTACTGGTATTACTCAAAGGACACACGGAAAGCAAGGGTACGTGAAGAAAGATGTGTGCTGATTGCATACAACATTGACTGTGAGAACTGTGCGCTCCCTCTGCATTCAATGTAAGTGCTACCATGGTTCGGCTGGTGCACACTATTCACATTCTAGGTATGCAAGCAGAGTTAGTAAAACTACCCTGTCCTGGGAACACCTCTGAAGCAAAGACTAAACTGGGGGAAAATACTGAACCAGGCTAAAGGAATTTCTAACTTGTGCCTAAAACACCTGCAGATTTTCCAAGATGTAAAGCAGCAGAGGAGTGAGAGAGGGGGAGGGGAGGCGTGTTTGTGAGCAAGAAGCTGTGCAGCACTTTCCCCTGTGGTGAAAAGGGTTTAAGGCCCTTCACTTTAAAAGCAGAGGACTCAAACGTCAGCATACATGGCTTTCATATCTGAAATTAGGGTTCAGTCCATTATAATTGCTGGGACTGTTTCCAAAATTTGGATCCAAATCTGATACCAATTTTGAACACCACAAATGGGTCTTTTTTGGGGGGGAGAGGGAGGAACAGAAGAGGGACAAGGTGCTTGGGGCTTTGGTTCATGTCCACTTCTCCTCAGAGCCCACACGTTGGTAGTTTATGGGCAGAATTATTTTCTGCTCTGCCATTTGGTATGACAATGTGAAGAAGGGCATCAGGAACATGGTCCAGGAACCTTGCATGCATGGGCTGCAAGTCCTGTGATGTACAGCAGCTAGTAGAATGGCTGCTAGGGTTAGAAGTCTCTAGCTCAGTGGGCAAGTGGTTACAGCAATATTAATGCACAAGGGTAATTTTTTCAAAAGGTAAGTTTGATAAAAGAACAAGACCATTCCTCACCTGCACGATTTCAAGCATTTCACCACGACTGATGTATCCATTGCCATCAAGATCATACATGCTAAAGGCCCATTTCAGCTTCTGTTCGAGTTTCCCCCGAGACGTGACACTCAGCGCAATGATAAATTCCCTAAAGTCAATCGTCCCATCGCCGTTGGTATCAAAAGTGCGGAACACGTGCTCTGCAAACTTCGATGCATCACCATAGGGGAAAAAATTTGCATATATCTTTTTGAATTCCTCAACAGTCAAGTGGCCCGTGGGGCAATCTTTTAAGAAGCCTTTGTACCACTCTTGAAGCTCGTGGTCTGTGAATTCGGTATTCTCTCGGAGATCTTGGAGTACCTCAGGCCGCAGCTTACTGTTCTGCTTCCCCATTCTGTGCTTGGTTAGGCTCTAACAGCTGTAAAACAAAAGAGCAAGGGTGTCACCTTCAGTGCCACAAGTGAACTCCAAGTGACCTGCGTCGCTCATGGACTGTAGGCAGGTCATTCAGTGGAAAGAGGAGTATCAATAAGCAGACATCCAAGAAGTACAAACATATCAACTGATGAAGCCACCCCGCAGAGAGCACTGCTCCGCTACAGAGACCATGGGGCTGTTAAATACAAGTATCTGCGTACAGCTTTAAACAAGAACATGCTTATCTATTTCATTAACCTTCTCGGTCAAAGACAGATCTATTTCACTCTCGCTTCCCGTTTCCAAGCTCTCCCAGTTACTGATGCTGCCCTTGTGGGGTTGGGGGCAGGGATGGAGAAGAGGAGAAAAGTGTGGGTTTGGGTGACCCTGTGCGTACTACTCCCTTGCTCAGACATGTTCTTTACCCTCAGTTCTACCCCAGCTTACCCTGAAACACAACATGGGAGCTTGAGCCCAGCTTGCAATGTTTTTCCAGCTTATGGCTGCATGGCCCCGCACAGACTGACATGCTGCTATTAGTGGGTTGGGCCAGGGTCCAGCATGGGAAGCAACGGGGAGAAAATGCTTTAAAAGTGTCCATACTTAAAGACTGATTTCCACAGGGGAGATTTTTGAAGGCACAGAGGGCAGTTAGGCACTTACCACTCCCTGGAAGTCAAGAGGAGCTGAGTGCCTGTCTCCTCCAAGTGCCTTTGAAACCCCCCTCCTAGAGCAGAACTTTCCTCCTTTACTGTTACCATCAATCAGGATCAAAGGCTCCAGCCCTGGACTGTAGCAGCACTGGAACTGCAGGAAGGCCCTTTGGAATGCTTTGCATTGCTTGAGCCCAGTCTTCAAATAGCACAAGCAGGACTGAGTAAGAAAGGGAGGTGGGAGAGGACAGAAGTGCTGCAGAGAGGTCTGGGCAGAAAGCAGCCCCCACATTTAATAGAATAACCTAGAAGACCTTTTCCTCCCTCTTCCCAACAGAGTGGCAGCAGCACAAGCAGCTGGGCCACCTAAGGTTAAGAAAAGGCCTATGTGATGCAGCTCTTTTCAACACATTTGAATTCAGAATGTTCCTAGGGATGTTTACAGAGATTTTCTAAAATGAAATACTGGTTCAAGCGACTGCATAGGCCAGACATATGCATTTGTTGGGAGAATTACAAGGGCCCGGCTCCTTGTTGAGTCAATCACGTTGCGGCGATTATGCAAGTTTACTCAAAGACAGGAGACAGTACTTCAGAATGTAATATTCCCACCTTGGGCAAAAAGGCATCTCAAGACTCTCATGGGTTTGTTTGTCAGGTGTTTAAAAAGAGTCTGAGTGCACCAGACATCCTCAGCCCATTAGGCAAGAGGGAGTCTTAAGTGCTATGATGGGCTTGGTCACTTGTTTATGTCAGGGGTTTTTAGACATCTGGAGTAAGCTGAAGATGTTCACTCATAGCAGACAAGAGCCTGTGACAAAGTGAAAGTTGCTCAATATACTCTTAATATGTCATTTGTTTATGTCAGGGGTTTGTAGACATCTGGAGCAAGCTGAAGATGTTCACTCATAGCAGACAAGAGCCCGTGACAAAGTGAAAGTTGCTCAATATACTCTTAATATAAAGCCATGCATGCATGTTCTCCCCTTTTACCATCCTCAGGCTCTCAGTTACCCAGCCATTTCAACCAATAACTAAGAAGACAGAGGTGCTCGAGATTAGCAAACACATTAGCTAGATACGACAGAACCTGTTGGCATATTAAGGGCTAGCGTACGCTTGAAGTGCTACTGAGATGCCATTGTAGGGCATCTGGTGAAGACACTACGCCAACGGTTTCTACTGCAAGAATTGATAGCTCTGTCGGCAGGAGAAGCTCTCTTGCTGACCTAGCATTGTCCACACTAGTGCCTAAGTCGGCGTAACAAATGCTGCTTAGTGGTGTGGCATATACATATTCCTGAGCAACGTAAATTATACCGACATAATGTGCAGTGTAGATAAGCCCTAATACTGCCAGTTCTTTACTATGACAAAGGAGGGCCTTCTTTGGTAACAATATCAGCTTTTACAGACTGAAATTCAGTGCAATGTTAATCTTATTTGTATAGACAATAGTAAGAGTTCAAGAACGTGCATTAACATGCAAAACCCTACAAGAATCTCTTATACTGCTGTATTAAAAAGGTTTGTACACTCTTGAATGAATTTACTAATGACCTAAATTAGCCACCTAATTCTATCTTGCTTTGTATTATTCCACCAAATGAGTGCAACGTGCATGTAGTAATGATAAGCATACCAAGTAATGGGTTGTGTATGTGCACTGCTCTGCCCTACCTACACCGAGAAACAGGGAAAGCAGAACACCAAAAATGTGACAGGACACACGCAACGAGATAAGACATGATAACGAGTAAGCACTTTGCAGGCAGCAAAAGCTCACTTCATCCCCGAAACCTACAAAAATGAAGGGTCAACAAAAATAACTAATACTCGAGGATTATCAATAACTGCATTCAACTGCATTTTATTTGTAGTCCATTTTCTTTTAACAGAGACTCAGCAATACAAAATACACATCCTGCTCTGTGGCTTAATGCTTACAGACAAAAACCAACCAGCTGCTCATTAATAAAACACATCAGGTTCAACGGAAAACTCTGCTGATATCATTAGCTGCTTCTGTTTTGTCGGAAACCACAAACATTCCAGCCCACTAGCTTAATTTCTAGTCACTCAGTCACAACGTTTGCTCTGTGCCTTTGATACATCACTAGCTCTCTTTCAAAATGCTAAAACAAAACTGGCTGCAGCCTTTTAGAAAACAAAGAGCTGCTCTCTAGCTAAATGCAGGTCAGCATCTACCTCACCATCTGTATTTCAAATCCACACAAGTCCACATATTCATACTCAAATTAGTCTCGATGCACAGGGCAGGGAGCACCTCCATACTTTCTATTCTACTGCATTTTAAGGAATGGTCACTGAGGCCTCTGCAGAAAAGGTAATGAACAAAACCATACAGTTTAGGAAACAAATTATTTTCATGTCATCTTTCTGGCCCAACATTAATCTTCCCCTTCTCCTGTTTCTCTTCTAGGAGGCCCCATCATCTGCCAAGGGTTACCATCTCCTGATCAAAAACTACTGAAGTCTGTGGGAGCTTCTGAGTTCACTGGGCTTTTGATCGAATCAAAGCAAAAGCAACAACAGCAGAGGCTGTTTAAAGGCAGAAACCAGGCATCAACCAGAAATAGCCTCAGCTACATGGGGAGATAAGGAGGAACAAGCATTATCACCACTTCTTTACTATGAACCCCAAAAATGGATTGCTCAAGGAGATGGTAGGGCAGGCCTCAGCATTTCTCCCTTCCTGTTGCATCCCCATAGACTTCACTTGCGGAGCCAGAGATCGACATTCTGGCATTCAGTTTAGTGGATCTTTGTTGCATCCCCATAGACTCGGGGCATGTCTTCACTTGCGGGGCCAGAGATCAACATTCTGGCATTCAGTTTAGTGGATCTATTATAGACGGCTAAATTGAACATTGAGGGCTGCTCTGGCTTGCACCAGTATTCCTCACAGTGGCGAGGAGTAAGGGAAGCAGATGGGAGCATTTGCTCCTGTCGCCCTCCCGCAGCGGAGCCGGCGCCAAGCTCAGCTTAAGGTAAGTCGACTCTAGCTACGTATTCTCCGTAGGTGGAGTTGTGTACCTTAAGGCAATCCCTCCAGGTCTAGTGATGGCGCCAAGGTCAGCTTAAGGTAAGTCAACTCTAGCTACGTATTCTCCGTAGGTGGAGTTGTGTACCTTAAGGCAATCCCTCCAGGTCTAGTGTAGACCTGGCCTCAGAGTGACAGGTGGATGGGTAGAGGAGGGGAGGGGAAGAAAAGGAAATCTCATAGCTTGGGAGGTTAGAGAAAATATGTCCTTACTGAATGGAATACTGGCCACAAGGGTTGGGGTAAGGAGAGAAAGGAGAGTTGTCCGGCAGCTCAGATGGCAAACCTTGCCATAGCAGCCAATGGGAGCTTTCATTTCCCTAGTCGCCCCCAACTTCTTGGCAACTGTTAAAATGTGGCATCTGTCCAATCTTACTCTCTTCCCAGGGTTTCTTTCATTGTTAACTTAAAGAACGAGTGGAAAGCCACAGCCTGAGCTTGGCTCTTCCTAAATGTTTCTCTCACTATATGTCGATTCTTTGTTCTCTATCCCTCATTCCCATCCTTGCTCCACACCAACCCCTCTATATACCATGGTTAGAATTTACACAACACATGCTTACTCTGGCTGCTAAGGGGCATCAGCAGCTCAACTCTTCATCTTTATGCAGCTATCAAGCATCAGATAGCTTGTGCTTCAACAAGCCTGTGTGCAAAGTTAAGTGACAGCCGCCTCATTAGTTTGGCTCTCTACAGCATGACATCCACTGGATAACATGGTAGGGACCAAAATGGTGAGAAATCTGTGGAGAGCGGTATTGACAGGAAGAGGAAAGGGCACTGGCAGCATTCTCCCACCATGGACACGGTGGCTGTTTCTCACCCTTCTGGGGTGAATTCTGTTCAGTGTGGAGAGGGATGTGAGCTAACTTTAGCAGAGTTGAGTAGGATCAGCTATTGTTCTCTGAAGACTCATCCACCTGAAATTAACTGATCTCTGGACACAATATTTCCTCACATTTTTCTGTGGGCACAAACAAGATAACTCATGCAGGCTTTATACCCCATGGAGCAGCGTGGCAGGGAAGCTGTGGAATCAGCATTCAGGCATGCAAATAACCAGAGATTCACTTCTGGTCTGTGGTAATTAGACACTCCATAGTTATCCTCATAAGGTGATCACAAACATACTACCTGAATTAGTAGGGGAATTAATTTAAGAGCTCATTGGGGGCAGGAACTGTAATTTATTACATTTTTGTTTGTTGCCAGGTGCAAGGGGTCTTGATCTGGTGGTTGCATCTAGGTGCTACTGCAATACAAATGCAAAATTTACAATTAACGGTGTGTTAGAGATCAACAAATGGAACTCATTACTTCCTTATCATGAGAGAAGAGAGATTTACTGCTATTAATTTCAAATGCTCTATACTCAAGTTAACCTATAATTGGTTGACTGCAAAAGCCAACTGAAGTGACTTCAAATCTACCTTTTAGTACAGACGATTTTAGAAAAGTCAACATGCAATGCATTAAAATGCAATTATTCTTCAGGATCTGAGCTTTTCAAATGGATTCTTAATGTGCCAAACCCAAATATAAACCTGCAGTTGTGTAACCAATTTGTTAAAAGTAATTAAGTAAGTGACATTAATGTTAATTTATTAAAGCACATCCAAAGAAATAGCTCTTAGATAAGGCTTGTTTCAGGTAGCTCCTGCAAAATGAAAAGCCCAACTATCTCATTAATCATGACAAGAAACCTTGCTGCTGGCATCCAACTGACATTTCATTCGATTGCTCTAAAACACTTTCATCAAATCAGTTTCCAGAGGCTCACTAGCTTTTTAGCCAGAGAAACCCTTGGGAGGATAATCAGTAATGGAAATCACAGGTAGTGGGCACTCAAAAAGGAACATTTAAGTCACTTTATGATTAGTCTCTTTCTTTTGCCACATGAGTTATACATTTCAGATAACATAGTGCAGCTGGTACACAAGCATGGCTAACACACTGCCTGTAAAGATTCTTCCAGGTTTGAGAAAGATGACAATGGGTATGAGGAAGAAAACTAATAACTTTTGGAATCCTTCACTCACCTATGAGAAATGTTTTCATCTTGCTGTGCTTTAGAGGATGTTGTACTACTCTTCTGGCCAACTTATCCCCAAACCTGCAGTCTTTAAAGGCATCCAGTTCTTAGCATTTGCATGCACAATGTGTTAAAAGAAGCAGGTTTAGATTGCTCATAGATCTTGTGATAGCAGATCAGCTACCAAACCAGTCTGTCCCTCAAAATAGATTTTTGCCCCACTGAGAAAGTAATCAACCTTCCTTTCTAGCAAGGTTTAGAAGAAAAAAAAGCTATTGTTTTTGGGGGAGGGATGGCTCAGTGGTTTGAGCATTGGCCTGCTAAACCCAGGGTTGTGAGCTCGATCCTTGCAGGAGCAATATAGGGATCTAGGACAAATCTGTCAGGGATGGTACTTGGTCCTGCCATGAAGGCAGGGGACTGGACTCGATGGCCACTCGAGGTCCCTTCCAGTTCTGTGAGATATGTATATCTCCATATATTTTTATTTTTTTAAAACATACTATTGAACAGAGAAATAGCTAGACAATAGGGATGTTAGATATCGGGTAACTGAATAGTCAAGTAAACATATGAATTGTTATCAGTTATTCCTGTTTCAGAGGCAGCTGCCGGTTAGTGAGGGAAGCCAATTTAAAAACCAGCTCCCTGCGCAGACCGGAGCCTATGACTCCTCGCTGCTGTTACAGAGGCAGCAGTGCGGGGTGACAGCAGCCCAGGTCTGTAGGAGGTCGGAGGTCCAAGCTCCCACAGACAGAAGCAGCTGCAGAGGGGGGAAGTTAGTCTGGCAGCAGCCCCTGTCCATGACAGGTCTGAGCTCCCTGTGGACAGAGGCTGGGGTTGGCTTCTCCCTGGGGCGGCGGGGGGGTGCCGCAGACAGAGGCGGCTCCATGGGAGACAGAGCAGCCTCTTTCCACAGGGAGCTTGGGCTCCCCACGCTGCAGCCTCTAACAGAGGTGCCTGCTCCCCCCCACTGAAATGCATGTAGATGAGAAAATTAACCGATAAGTCTAGGCTTATCAGTTAATCGTATAGTTTACTACACATTGACATTCCCACTAGACAAGTGACTAGACAAAGCCACCAAGAATAGCAATATTCTAAATAAAATAAAGGAGGCTTTACAAATTTCAATGGATTTGTAATCTTTGTAGTCTTTGCCCTCACCATCTCGCTCAAACCTGGAAGAATCTTCATCAACAATGTGTATAGCGCAAATGAAAAATAGGAAAGTTCGGCTTTTGATAGAGGTTTAAATTAGAAGTACAGGAAAGTAAAGAGGCAGCTCCATAATGGATTTTGCATTTACTATAGAGGGACTTCCTGGGAGACTGGGGTGGAAACAGACATCCTTGTATCTAACAACTTCACGGAAAACCATTTCATGTGCAATTAGAATCTAGCACTGGGCTGAGTAGTGACAGAGTCATGGCTTTTGGCAGCCTAAGTACAGCAATGTAGCTGTCCTCATGCAGCTTCTAGTGACGGTCTGTCTTCATCTTAAAATGCACCATCACGACTGGCATGAACACAGATGTAGGAATGAATAGGGCTGAAGACTTTACTACTTTCCCCTAACTTCTCACTCCAGTGTAGTCACTCCAGATCAGGGATAAGACATAATATAAAAGATGCTGTGATGGAAGACTGCATGCATTAATGTTAGTCCTATGCCTGTTTCGCTTGATAAACAGAGGACTGAGTTTTTAGAGTGAGCATCTGGACTTTTAATGAGCATGGAATTCCTCACAGTAACAAAAGTAAATAGAAGTGCTTTATATATGCTTAGACAAGAATCTGAATATATTAACAGACCCATAGGCCTTAGAACGTATGTTTTTTCTGTAAAAGTAAATGTTAGAACACATGATGCACTGTGTAGGACCCAGGAAAGGAAAAGCAAATAAACAATGAACTGATTTTTTTTTCAAGTCTCATGTCTGGTATTTTGGCAAATGTTGCTGCACATTTAATCACGTTCCCTCTATTCTTAAAGCAACATCCTTGCTGTAATGAGGTCTAGAAATATAGTCAAGTTGGAAATTAAGATGCAGAGAATAAATAGGATTAAGTTGTTCTGAAATTTCCTTCTCATCTTAGGGATGTTAAATGGCATTTAATCAGCTAATTGTCTAGTTGATAGAATTTTCATAGACTAGTCGATTAGCTGATAAGGAGGGGAAACTGCAGAGCCACAGTGGGGTTATAGCTCCTGGCCATAGGAGCTAACCCACTGCACTTCAGCCTTTTAAATGTATAAAGAGCCTCAAGGCTCTTAATACATTTAAAAGGCTGAAGTGCAGTGGTGGGGGGAAGTGAGGGGGAGAAGGGCAAGGGGGAGACTGAGTGCGAGCCAGGAATCAGCTGTTGCAGCTCATGCATGTCCCTCCCACTGTACCTCTGCCTCCCCTATCCCCACAGCAGATATGGCGCTAGGAGGGGGAGAGGGGGAAACCAGCTTTTAAGTATTAAATGTAAAACTTTACCATCTACAAGTCCACTCAGTCCTACTTCTTGTTCAGCCAATTGTTCAGACAAACGTTCAGACAAACAAGTCTGTTTCTTTTTTACAATGTCACCTGAAAGCAGGAACAGGTGTTCGTATGGTACTTCTGTAGCTGGCATTGCAAGATATTTATATACCAAATGGCTATGTCTAGACTGGCATGATTTTCTGGAAATGCTTTTAACGGAAAAGTTTTCTGTTAAAAGAATTTTCGGAAAAGAGTGTCTAGATTGGCACGGACGCTTTTCCGCAAAAGCACTTTTTGCAGAAAAACGTCTGTGGCCAATCTAGACGCGCTTTTGCGCAGAAAAGCCCCAATCGCCAAATCTCAGCTGTTAACACTGGCCCTTTTGCGCAAAAGTTTTGCGCAAAAGGGACTAGCATAGTATTTCCGCAAAAAGCACTGATTTCTTACAGTAGGAAGTCAGTGCTTTTGCAGAAATTCAAGTGGCCAGTGTAGACAGCTGGCAAGTTTTTCCAGAAAAGCGGCCAATTTTCCAGAAAATCTGGCCAGTCTAGACATAGCCAATATGTTAAAGATTCATGTATCCCTTCATATTTCCATCTCCATTCTTATGATGAGTTCTGCTCGACAATGGTCCAAAGCAGAGCACATGGATGCATGTTCATTTTCATTATCATGAGTGCATTAGAGTGTTGCTCTGTTAAGACTTCTGAAAGCATGCTTCATACTTTGTGTGTCTCAGATTTTGGATGGCACTTCAGATTCTTAAACCTTGGGTCAAGTGCTGTACAGTGTTCCCTCTAAGCTGTGTGACAGTACAGTTCTGTGCATGGAGCCCTGAGCCTTTGACTGGGCAGAGCTGATCAATCACCTGTGAAGCTGTACTGTATCTTAGAGTGAACACTCGTGCTGTAGTTATCTTAAGAAATTTGCCATTGGTATCTTCTTTGCCTGTTGTCAAATCTGATGTGAATGCCTTATTAAAATGAACATGTGCTGGGTCATCATCCAAGATTGCTATAACATGAAATATATGGCAGAACAGGAGGAGACATACAATTCTCCCCCAGGGTATGTCCACACTAGCCAACCTAGTTCAAACTAGGGTGGCTAATGTAGTCATTCGAACTTGCAAATGAAGCCCGGGCGCCGCCGTTTTTAAATGCCTGGTAGTTCAACTCCCTGCCCGCGGCTACACGCGGCACGAGTTGAGGAGTAATGGTACTCATAAAGAGTAACGGTAGTTCAAATTAGGAGTTTTAATTCTAACTACCTAGCCCGTGCCACATGTAGCCGTGGGCAGGGAGTTGAACTACCGGGCATTTAAAAATGGCGGTGCCCGAGAACATGCAAATAAAGCCCGGGATATTTTAATCCCGGGTTTCATTTGCAAGTTCAAATGACTACATTAGCCACCCTAGCTTGAACTAGGGTGGCTAGTGTAGACATACCCCCAAGGAGTTCAGTCACAAAATTTAGTTAAACCCTATTTAAAATAATAATAATAATAATAATAATAATAATAATAATAAAAAAACCTAGTCTCATAAGCACGAAAGTATATCTTCTAGAATGGTGGCCAAAGCATGAAGAGACATACAAATGTTTAACATATGTTACATGTAAATACCTTGCAATACCAGCCACAAAAGTACCACGAGAATGCCTGTTCTCACTTTCAGATGACACTGTAAAGAAGAAGCAGGCAGTATTATTTCATACAAACGTCAGATTTGCTTGTTTTAGCAAATTGCTGAACATGATATGGGACTGAGTGGACTTGTAGGCCTCAAAATTTTACATTGTTATGTTTCTGAACACAGTTACACAACAACATTCTACATTTTTAAGTTACACTTTCATGATAAGGAGTCTGCACTTCAGTACTTGTATGAAGTGAACTGAAAAATATTGTTTCTTTTTTTAGCATTTTTACAGTGCAAACATTTTGAGCACTGTACACTTTTATTCTGTGTTGTAATAGAAATAAATATTTAAAAATGTAGAAAAACATCCACAATATTTAATAAATTTCAGTTGGTTTTCTATTATTTAGCAGTCCCATTAATCACAATTAATTGTTTTCAGTTATTCACACAAGTTAACTGTGATTAAATCAACAGTCCTAATATCCAAATGGCTTGAAATATCTAGCCAGTAATACCAGTTATTGATAAATTAACAGGCTGGGTGTTGGCATCACTAGAAAAATTTCAGATACTAATACAGGCAGTCCCCGACTTACGTTGATCCGACTTATGTCGGATCCGCAGTTACGAACGGGGCTGCCCCAGAGTACACTGACTGTGGGACCTCGCGGTCCTGCCGCCCGTGTACTCTGGGGCTTTCTCTGCGTCTCCCTGGTCTGCAAAGCCGCGGGGAAGCCAGCAGTGGGACAGCTCAGACGCCCCGCGGCTGTCCCGCTGCTGGCGGCCCCCACAGC